TCTCTCTCTCTTTCTCTGTCTCTCTCTCTCTCCCTTTCTCACTCGCTCCTCTCTCTCTCTCTCTCTACCCCTCCCTCTCTCTCTCTCTCTCTCTCTCTCTTTCTCTTTCTCTCTCTCTCTCTCTCTCTCTCTCTCTCTCGCTCTCCCCCTCCTTTCCATTGCCCGTCCGCTCGCGCATACACTCACACACAAACACAAACACACACATTCACATGCACACACATGCACACACACATTCGCATGCACACACATAAGCACACACACATAAGCACACACACAAACACACACATTCATATACACAAACACAAGCACACACACAAACACACACATTCACATACACACACATACACACAAACACAAACACACGCAATCACACACACACACACACACACACACACACACACACACACAAACACACACACACACATCCTTCTACATTAGCAAATGAGTATATCAGGCCAGAAACATAAGTACTGTATCATAGTAGCTAACAATATGCGGTGTACAGTTGTTTGAGTCATAGTCTTATCTACTATTATTTACTTAGTGTATTATGTTTTTCCCCGCTTCCCCCCCCCCCTCTTTTCACTCGATAAAATAAGCCCTTTATCTCCGGACCTTTGGTTTTCCTCTTCATCCAGATAACATCCTGTTATGTGTAAAGTTGCTGCTGTTGCCGCTGTTGTTGTTGCTGTCTTTTTCATGTTGTTGTTTACGTAGCTGATATCGTTCCTCTTAGATGTTTTGTTTAAACAAAGTACAGGAAATATCCAGTAGATGTATTAACCTTCTCATTTCGCCCGCTCTTCTCTTGCGACAGCGTAAATATTTATGTCATATATTCTTCTTTGAACAAAACAATCTCTTATAATAACCTGTGACATTACCATGTATGGTAATCATTGTCCCATTTCATTTCTGAATTGCTATTTGATCGTATTTTAGGAAACTCAAAGCCCGATTCATAAATAGCCATGAAAGAGTAAATCATAAAAAAGAACTCAAACGAAAAGCATCGGCTACCGATGGAACTGAACAATAACACCAGCAATAAAACGAGAATCTGGAGTCGAAAAGAGCTATCTGCTTTACAAAGTTGAAAACAATTATGGTACATTTTCGCCCGGAGGCTTCAAAAAGTATCAGGAATATCTATGACTGCTTTATCCGCCGCGTTGTCTTCACTCCTGACACATTTACACCGTGATTTTATCGCTATCCGGTTTCCAGTTTATTCTGGGAGGTAATCACCAGCGATGACGTTTGTTATCAAAGGGATGTTCAGCTTTCGTAAAACTTGAGATGTTATGTTCTTCCGGCCTTTCTGCTGTAATAAACTACGGAAGATTTTTATTTCTCCTGTTTTTTCATGAGCCCTTTTGATTAATTCGCACAAAAGCGATTTGTTCTTCACCAAGCCTAAACTTGTTGTTTTTTTTATTTTCTTTCTCACTGAAATTAGTAATAGTAGTAGAAGTAATTTTTAAAAAGTTGAAGTAGTAGCTGTAGTTAAACCGGTAGTAGCGGTAGTTATGCTGGTAGTAGCGGTAGTTATGCTGGTAGTAGCGGTAGTATCAGTAGCAGCAGCAGCAGTAGCAGCAGCAGTAGTAGTAGTAGTAGTAGCAGCAGCAGCAGCAGCAGCAGCAGCAGCAGCAGCAGCAGTAGTAGTGGTAGTAGGAAAAAGGTCAAAGTTTCTTTTAGTTTTAGCTTAATATCCTACGTCGCTCTGAGAGCAGAATGGTAATTTTGTTTCAATCTCACAGTTTTTATAAAAGTTTCTCCGCTTAATGGCATTGGTTGCTTTTCGAGTTAAACATACAAAGCAAAGACACTCTTGTTGTCATGTGAATGGTTCTCTCATTTTTCATTAACTAAAAACATGTTATTCTATTAAGTGATTCCCGCGTTACCGTAAAACGCTAGGATGTTAGAGGATTTTTAATACGCTGTGGTTGGGCGTTATAACAAAAAGTGACAAAATCAATGATCAGGCATAACATTTTTTCAAAACAAAATTTTATTGAATTAGCACCATTTGTTTTAGATACACTATATATTATAATAAACAGTATAGGACGGCTCCTATAAGTTGTCTACAGTTTGATTCCCACACTTCATTACCAAATATCAGCTCAACCACTGGCAGCCCTTGCTATCTTTTTGGCTTACATTTCTGCATTGAAACTGGTAAAACGATTCTATAGTTCACGCCACCGTGCACGAATTTAACTAGCTCATGTAATTCAGATCGTACTGGGCGATAACGCCAGACTAAAGAACGACAACACCCCCTCCCCCACCCTTTTTTGTGTTTTAAATTGATTGAAAATGCTTTACTCCCTTATCAATACGACGTAGAACAATTAGAGCCATTGCACACCGCCAGTTAGATGCATCGGATTCAGTTGGGGCCATCCAGGTTTTTCTTTATGGGTGGGCACAAACTTCCCTTCTGGCACAATACGACCGCATTCAACGCTTGAAAGTTTAACACTTTGCGAGGCTATAGTGTAAGGAGCCCTTAATCGTCGCATCCACTTTCAACTTTCATAGGGCAGAAGGGTACTTGTGGCTCGGCAGATTTTCACCCCACTATTCCCCGTGCTTGCGGAATGGCAGGTTCTCTGTTATGTGTTTTCCCCTCTTTATTCTTCAAATTTTATTCAGCATATTCGCCAACGTACTTATCTGAAGTTACTGTATAGATCTATTTTTAAAAGAAAACCGTTTATCAAGTTTTTCTTTGTGAGTCAGCAAGTATTCATCCTAAAAAATTGACAGCGTTCTTTCTTTTTTCATTGCTGGAGAAGTTTTTAAGAAAACGTACAGTGTTTGAAACACTAGATTTGTGTTGTTTATAAATCGTTATTTTGTTTGTAAATCTGTCTTTTCTTTGATCTAAACGTAACTCTGTTTTTGTAATCGCTTTTTTACAGGTGCGAAAGAATCTATTTCTACTTAAGGGCCTGAAGAATGATATCTTCCAATGTTTCTTTAAGGTAAGTTGGGTTTTTTATCACTACTACCTTTAAGTTTTGTCTCCTAAAGACATGCATTTGTTCCTTTTCATTACTATTTCATTCAGCCAACACAATGAAAATTATCTACCTACTTACTTATCAACCTTCTTACCTACCTACCTCCCAAACTCCCTCCCTACATACTCACCTCTTCCCCTCGCCCCATCCCTCCCTACCTCCTTCCCTCCCTTCCTACCTACCTACCTACCTCCCCTTCCACCCTTCCTATCTACCTACCTACCTATCTACCAACTTGCATACCTACCTATCTTATCACCTACCTACTCACCAACCCTCCAATTGAACCACTGACTTACCTACTTCCCTCCATACCGGTCGACATACCAACCAGCCTGCTTACCTATCGATCATACAACAGACCGACTTATGTATGTATGTATGTATGTCTGTATGTATCTATCTGTCTATCTATCTATCTAGTCTGCATGTATCTGTTCATAGCCCTCGCTTTTTTCTTTCAGACAATATAATTTAACCGTTTGGTTAACACAACTTCACTTGTTTGTTCCTACAGCAGTTGTCAGTTTTTCACCTCTCTATCTATCTAGCTATCAGTCAATGTATCAATGTATCTTACTCTCTCCCCAACTCTTGCCCCCCC